GATAGATAGATAGATAGATAGATAGATAGATAGATAGATAGATAGATAGATAGATAGATAGATATTGCTTTTGTAGCCTTTTATTTTTCCTAGCAAGCAGTCTGCATCTTCACCCCTGGCCAGGAATTCTGATAACCTGATACTTTCTTGTTACCTTTCAGGGGTCTTTATTAGTTGCTTGGGAAGCCCCATTAGGCCCAAACTCCTCCCTCTCCTGCAAATAGTTTTACATAAAAAGAAAGTTGCCTGTTTATGAATCAATAAACACAGAACAAATAGCCAAATCAGTGCATTTATTAAATCACATTCATCCAGGCTAAACTCCATCGAGTAGATCTGCTACCGCTTATTATTGATGGACAAATTCCAAATATCTTAGAATATAATTTCACAAATCCTGGAACCTTCTCCGTTCATCACAGATTTCCACATCACGCACTGAGATCAAGAAATCATATCTGCAAATTGCCATGTCTTGATTCACAAGTTAGGCTCCCGTTTCTCATATTGACACAAATTGATTGGAATGTGGATTAGTTTTGAGTTTCCCTTGCCGCAAATATGACCCACTTAAACTCCATTTGAAGAAAAGGATTAAGGGCAGCTTTCTGGAGCGCTGTGAGGTTAGCTCTGAATATATTACAGAAGGGTTTTTTTTTTTATATAGGAGCTTAAACAAGAGTACTGTCAACATTGTTAAAAAAAATACTACAAAATTTTAACCACTGTCCAAGAAACTTGGAGAAACAGAGATTTTTCTATTCCAAAATACCCAATGCTTTCTAGTCTTAAGGAATATTAAATATATTTTTTCCATAAAAATTATTTTTTGGTTTATTGGTCTCCTAAAGAGGAAAATTGGGTTATCCCTCTCCTGTCATTTTGATATTATCATCCACCTTTTGACCGTTTTCACAATTAGTTCCTTATTGTGCTATTGGCTCATTTGCAAGGAGCGGCACAGTCTGTTGCTGAAAATATTGTTTTGTATTCCTGAAAGGACACTTGTGTATCACATACCACAAACAATCAGTTCTCCCCCTTTGAATTGGTCCTTAATTGTCATAAAACAAGCACCAAACCATTTGATTCCATGCAGTTCAGGTTTAATGGTTTGATTAAAAACTGTAGCTAATTTTATATTGATGCAATTATTAAGTCCGCATTGCAAAAAAGTCAGAGGGAAAAAAACAACCACTGAGAACATTGTTCCTTTGCCTGCCCTGTTCGTTTTATTTCATTTGATTTCACATGTTTGTTTGTTTGACTTGTATTTGCAAGTTCTTAAAAAAACATTTTCATTTGTGGTTGTAAACAAACTGAAGAGCTGGAATGTTGTTGTTTTTTCCAGATCCTCAAATGCGCTCTGGAGCAAGGAGTTCAAAAACTATTTGAACCCCTCGGGATTTGCCCTGGGAAGAAATAGACTGGAGGAAACCATAGTAGGATGTCAGAGTGGGAATGTTTGAATGGAATGGCTGCTTCCAGGTTGAGCAGACGCCAGCTTGAGTGAGTTGTGAAATTGCACCCTCTGCAGGCACAAACGTTGTATGGATTTACCCCAAATTAATGGCCTGTGAGGGACACGGTGGCTCAGTGGCTAAGCTCGAATCCTCAGCACCATGTACAGAGTGAGCTCCCATTACTTCTCCCAGCTTCTGCCAACCTAGCAGTTCGAAAGCATGTAAAAAATGCAAGTAGAAAAATAGGGACCCCTTTGGTGGGAAAGGAACAGCGTTCCGTACACCTTTGAAGGCATTTAGTCCTGCAGGTCACATGACCACGGAGACGTCTTCGGACAGCGCCGGCTCTTCAGCTTTGGAATGGAGATGAGCAGCGCCCCCTAGAGCTGGAAACGACTAGCGCGCATGTGAGGCGGGAACCTTTACCTTAAGGGCCTGTGATTGGTAGGCAGAGGTGGTATTCAGCCAGTTTGGACCAGTTGTCGTGTACCGGTAGCAGAAATTTTGTCCAGTTTGGAGAACTGGCAAATACCACTTCTGATTGGCCCTGCCCATTTGCAGTTACCTCTCCTTTACTAACTCCTAAGAAACAGCCCAGGTAACTCATCAGTGTTGAAAGAGGTTGTTATTAGAGCCCTGTGGTGTGTGCGCAATGCGTGATTGCACAAAGCATGATTGCATGCATGCAGCACAAAGTGCGTAGAATGGTAGGAAAAAATTTGGAAACTCACCACTGATGGTAGGTACCCAGACTCTAGCTTACCCAGATTAGATAACCGTACCAGAAATCTGTCTATGGAAATCCCCACATTCTGGAGAAATTCCACATTCTGGACAGAGAAGACCACTGGTTTGAAAGAGGGGTGAAGGAAGCCATCTAGGTTAAAAGTGAACATCCCCCCCTCAACAGAGAGGAAGGGATACGACACCAGTTTACAGCACAGTCCTTTGTGAAGTTTTCACAGCCATTTGCACTCTGATTCAGGTGACCCTGAGGGCACAGATAAAACCTCCAAGTGGCCTCAATGACCCTCAAAAAGCTCATGACCAATTTTCAGAGTGCTGAGACCAGATGACTGCAAGGAATATAAATCCTTCCATTCTCTACCATCCAGTCAGAATGGAAGAAGCTTCTTGGATGAGAAGCAAAACGTCTTCCAGCAAGAAACTCCAGATGCCTCCTGAAAGAAAGCGTCTTTGGGACTACCAGAAACCTACTTTTATATTCTATCTTTGACCAACTGACAGGCATCTCCTCTTAACTGAGTGACCTGCAGTGATCCTCTACATCGGGTGGGGCTCTGCCTGTCCCCCAACTTTGGTCACCAAAACAGAATGACCCAACACTTCTTGCTTCAGATCCATACTTCACTCTAATCCATCTTAGCAGCCCCCTCGGGCAAGTGGCCTTTAACTGGATTGACTGTTTTCAGAATTAAACCTCTTCCTCTTGCAAACCTCTTTTCACAGGCCATTTCTCCTGACTTTGGCCACATTCTGAACCTCATCTTGAATTCTAGGTGTGGCTCTGGAGCCGAGTCCTGAATCCAGATCTGGCGCGGAAAGTAGATTCCAAATTCAACAAGAACTATTTGCTCTTTGTAGGTTGGGTTCGACGGGCCCCCGGATATCCAAGTTAGGAAGATGTTGGCTACACTTGGTGTGATCTCCTTGGGTTCTTCTGTTTTTCCAAGCCTGGAGTTTCTTGGAGATTTTCTTCTTGGCAAAACTGTAGATCTCCACCAAAAACATGAAGGATACTCCGTACATCGCTAGGATACCACCCTTGAGTGTCCCAAATGTCTTGGGGGACTTCATCACGGAATGCATAATCCAGGCACCCCCGGCGATCCGCAGCCCCAGGAAGAGAACCACAAACAAGATGTCCACCACATCTCCAGCAAAGCTGTGGTAGCGCCCGCTGTCTCGGAGGAACCAGCGCATTTGCAAAAACGGGTTGGTGATCTCGCTCACGAAGACGATGGCGCTGATTTCAGAGCCCGACTTGCCAGAGTCCAAGACCAGCGACATGCCGCCCATGCTTAGCAGATGGTGAGAGAGTATCAGGTCACCCTCAGTGTCCGAAAGGATGCACCAGCAGAAGTCAAAGATGAAATAGCCCAGTGACAGACAGAGGGCAAACTCTTGGAGTGGCGTGTTGGGATGACCTAGAAACAGGGCAAATTAAAAAGAAAAGAAAAGCAATTTAGTTTGCTGTTCCCATTTGTATTTTCTCCATCCTGAAAATTCCAAAGCAGTGAGGGTCTAGGCCAACTCTCCATGGCCAACTCTCCATGGCCAGCTCTCTATCGCCAACTCTCCATGGCCAACTCTCCATGGCCAACTCTCCATGGCCAACTCTCTATGGCCAACACTCTATAGCCAACTCTCCATGGCCAACTCACTTCAGCCAACTCACTACAGCCAACTTGTCATGGGACAATTCAATACTATGTTAATAGCTTCATTCAATTATTTTTATCCTTGGTGAGGCAACCAATGGAAAGTAATCAAGGAGAGGCGCAACCTGTCAGTGTTCCAGAAAACTGAAACTGGAAAGCTGACACAACCTGGAACTAAGGAGAAATTTCCTGATGGTTAATGGCCTTGTAGGTCATCTAG